GATAGACTTACCTCCACGTGGTGCAACCTGGGCAACGTATACTCATACAGTAAAAAGTCTATTAACCGGCATTTGACTTCTGACTTCAAACTACCACGACCCCCCTGGTTGTCATATTCGACCCCTTCCTCAGTACTCACCTCACCTTTTTCTCTACCTTTGTGTCCGTCTGCCTCTTTTACATCTGTGAATCGCTCTTCTGTTCCCCACCCCTCGACTTTTTGTCACTTGGAAGATCCTCTTTCTCTCTGTGAAGCCCGAAGTCAGCTAAATGGCTAATGATAGCTATCAAAACGCTTGCCATTTGAAATAAACTATTGTTACGCATCGAGATCAGAATAGGAGAATAAGATTTAGATAAATTTCTGTGTGCATCGAGTATCCCTTTCGACTATAAGTTTGACTATCCAGCATATGAATTGACTCTGAGATACTTGCAACATTGTGATTGGGAGCAAAGATTGACGAAATTCTGTTATTATAATGGTATAATACAATTGTTTGTATGAATTAATCAATAATGAAAGAATTTCAAAAAGAATATGTCACAATAATGAATGCCAAGTCGAAAATTGAGTAAATAAAACGTTTAAAAATATATTGAACACACCTTTTCAGCTTCCATGATACATAAAAATCCAGAGTTAAATGAAGCTTAAAACTCGATGCACCTTATGTAATTTTAAATTCGATAAATAATCACTATCGCAATATTTTTTTGAGTTTATAATTTGGCATCGTCTGAATAGCAGGAATACAATTCAAATCACAACGAAGTTGAGTCATTTCCTAGTAGCGTTAATGCAAACCGAGGCTGATTAATTGAATAACCTATTAAGATATTTCTTTTACTTAAATGCAAATTTCCAGAGATTAAATTTTTTGCAAACCCAAAATAGTTAAAATCATAAAGATTGCGCAATTTTAATTCAAATGGTGTAAAGCAGACTCTAATTTAAAATTTAAAATTTATTCTGCTCTTATTTGAGATCATTTTCTTTCCAACTAATAATGCAACAACCTTATCACGTTCTTCATCCACTCATCACAGTAGTGAAAGAAAGTGAAATAAATATTTGCGTTAAAATTTCAATCTAAAGGATCGAGAATCCTACGTCGAGGTGTTGACATTTTAGACAAAATCTACAAAATTAGATGTAAAATTAGAGCATTCTAGGGCACTTTCTCAAATTTCGACACATCAATTTTCCGTCTCAGAGTTAGCAATTAACAAACTACCCCTCATTCTCATCAATATATTGTCACATGATTGACAGTGGCTTGGTTTTAGTTTGGAATAACTGTCAGAAGAAACGCAGTGGATTGACCTTCAAATGTCAAAAACATGACGACAACTTTTATTCCATTAAAACAACTTTTCTAAAGTAATAACGCCCCTGGAAGTGGCTTAACTCTTTCTTTTAATTCCGTTCTTTTGACCGGAATCAACCGCAGGGCACCTTGTTCGGAGGTCCAAAATAGTTACTAGGGCATCAATAGTACTAAATGTACAACAACAGGAATCGTTAATATATATTTATGTCAAATGGTCGGCTTTATGATAGCTATCATTAGCCATTTTGTTGACTTCGGGCATCACAGAGGGGAAGAACAGGTAAAGTCACAAAAGTCGAGAGGGGGGGGGGACAGAAGAATGATTCATTGATGTAAAAGAGGCAGACACAAAGGTAGAGAAAAAGGTGAAGTGAGTACTGTGAAGTTGTCGAATATGACATACAGACGGGTCATGATAGTTTAAAGTCAGAAGTCAACTGTCGCTTCATAGACTTTTTTGCCATATGTGTATGCGTTTCCCATGGTGTCCCGCATGGGGGTAAGTCTATCGTGCACTTCGGAATTGTTAATGTAATATACTACTTATTGTCCATAGACATCATGGACAATAAAGATGTCGTTGTAAATGATTAACCAATGGTTGAAAACTGTAAGAATAGTTTACGTGATGTTCTTTAAACTTAAAACCCCAAAATCAAACACGCACAGTATATGTGGTTGAGAAAAAAATAGAAAGTGTTTTAAAATAGATAAATCTAGCCAAGATACCAAAATCAACTGAAAATAAGGAATTCTACACAACACATTTCTTCAATCCAAACAATTGCTTTTTAATGCGAAAGGTCTATAGTATTCGTAAATTTCAGAAAAAATGTGAAAAAATCTGTCAACCCATCGCGAAGCGAAAAGTTAACGGAAGTGGACTGCGCTAAAGTAGGCTGATAAAAAGGAGTCAATACAGATAGTGATTTAACTTTATTCCTCACGTTAAAGGTGTATTTAAACGGATAGGCCACAATCGTAATTCTAAGCCGACATTATTGATTTCATTGATTATTCGCTAATTGGCAGAACCATAGCTCTGAGTGCTTGTACAAGCCCGAAAAATGGAAAAGTCGCCTGCGTTAAGTTAATGGCCAGAAACTCAGAAATCCAAAGCAGAATAAGTAATGGGCATGCGTCGGGCTGGCCAATGAGCATATCATCACCTGTCTCACCTTCTGAACCAATGAAATTCAGAGGAGGCATTAACCAACCTATCACGACTCATAGCCTACTCACGCTTTGTACACTAAAAACGAAGCAATTTTCCTTATAAAAAGGCAGTAGACAAGAGCTGAAGTTGAGCGTAACTTTCTTGGGAAAGTCTAAATTGAACGCGTACATATTGAAATGGGATATACAGATACCACATCGAAAGAGAGCGGGTCATTTGAAAAGCCCCAACAGAATCACAAATCCGCCTCTCAAAAGACACTTTCAAAACTCCGCAAGAAATACTGCTCAGGAACATGCCTCAAGTTCGTTTATTTGGCCTGTGCGACTCTAGTGTCAGCTAGTATAATTATTGAGTGCATTCTTGCTCACCTCGTTATTACTCCCTACGTGTCTGAATCTGTCTTTGAATCCGGCGTCTGTTTTCTCTACTACACCACTACTGGAAAGCGCGTGAAGTGCGAGAATAAATGCAGTAAGGATCGCTCATCCTTTCCTTGCGCCAATGTTCAAGTCATTTATATCCCCGCTCCTCAAGTACAAGAAGACCAAGTTCCCAAGGTCGTGAAGGCATTGCGATATCGAAATCCTGGAGTGAGGGAGTACTTGAAGGTGAGGGAAGCAAGGCTCCTCTATCTCTACGACTACTTCAGTACTTATGCAGCCTACAAGTCGGACAGGGTTAGTGATTTCGCTTTCACAGCAGTAATTACATGATTACACAAACTACTTGCAATAATTAATCCATTCTATTTAATATGAGGCAATTCAAATGAATTTTTCTTTCTTCCCGATTAATCTATTTGAAAAATTGCCAATATTTTTCTATGCAAAATATTTGATAATTATAATAACGATCGGATATATTTATATTCATGCAAACAACATGCTCAAGTACACTCATTTGTTACTTTAGATTTAATAAGATGTTAGTTTTTTTCTAGGTGAAAATATGAAAATGTTAAATGTCTGATGGTATGTTAACGTACCGCGCATTTTTTTCTTATTAAAATTTTATGTTTTTGAACTTTAAGTTTTGAAGAAACGTTCGCGTTTTGGCTTATGTAATTCCCGGAGCAGGTTGGAACTTAGAGGAAACATTGCAATATAACTCATTTTTTTAACATTTAGAAGTAAAGATCATTGAAATGAACGTCTAGAAATCATAAAATTTCTTAATAGGAATTATATTTAATACACTAGTCAATTAACGATTAATGCAAGTGTATTTTGTTTGTTTGAATAAAAGAATTTATAATAGGTGCTAAAATATATTATTCGCGGTATCGCCTGTATGAACAAAGAAAATATTTGAAATCAACAGGAAAAACAGCAGCCTTTAACAATTGCGATGAAGGAGATTTGAACTGGATAAGTAGGCATTGAATAATTGGCGATGAAAGGGATAGAATAGAAGTGAGAAGAGTAATTGGAAGGAAAAAGAAGGCCTCAGTGTAGGAAGCGGTCAATTCAGACTGCTAGTACTAGTCGTAAGGTGACATAAAAAATCAATCAAACAAAATTGAGTTCATTGTTCATTGATGACTAAGATAAAGGCACGAACCGAGCTGTTACGTAAAGCAGAGCGAGAGAGTAGATACCTCGAAGCCTTTTCAACTATAAAATTCGGACACGGACTATTTAGCTTTTAAAAGATTTGACGAACGGAGATGTAAAGAAAACCCGAGTTTCTTAGTTTCGCTGATTGGACTTTGTTTGTCCCTAAGAGGTTCAAACTTTGTGATCATGAGAGCATTTCGTAATAGCTTCGACTAATTTCAAAAAAATGCGAAGGTCGAAGAGTGTACTAATTATTGGTTTTCAAGGTCAAAAGTTTTACAACTTCTTGAGCACACTTAGTTCAAACTGGCTGATTGAAGAAACAAATTTACATTTCGTGAACCAAATTTAAACGAATCACTTCTTTTTGCTAATAACTCACAACTTAAGAGGATGAACAATTTTACACTATTCATAACACGAATCCAGTTAATTCATAGAGTTAATGGCTAAACAAGGAAATCATTTATAAAATAATTTATATATACCTATAGATAAATCTGAGTTTATAGATGTGCAACGTACTGTACACCATTATATTTGCTATTTTAATAGTGTAGGTTTTGATAAGCAAAGTTGATACTTTCTGGTGTATATGCCAAATTAAGTAGCGTAAAAAAGTTGCGAAATATAGAGTTTCACCTGATTTTTAACAATTTTTTTCATTTAAATCAAATGGTAGGCGTTTTGACAATTTTCAATAGCCTTTTAGTTGATTCCAGGCTTCACAGAGGGGAAGGAACATCAAAGTGGAAAAAGTCGAGAGGGGGAGGGGGGGGAGGGGAACAGAAGAGGGTTTTAAAGATGCAAAAGAGACAGACACAAAGGTAGAAAAAAGGTGAGGTGAGTACTATGGAAGTGGTAGAACATGACATAACGTGGGGTGATGGTAGTTTGAAATCAGAAGTCAACTGCCAGTTAATAGACTTTTGGGCGTGTGAGTATACGTTGCCCAGGGTGCACCACATGGAGATAAGTCCTTCGTTCACTTTAAACACCAAACTTTGAGTCATGTTAAAATTCATTCCTAAATTCTTATAGTAGGGTCGACAGATTTATATAGATTTTTTAACTATTTTAAAATTTAAATCATGACGTTACTTATGGTTAGAAAATACTTTTGTTCCAGACTTTATTTGAATAATTTAAAACGAATAATGAGAAAATATAAAATTCCAGTTATTTTATAATACGACAGAGTAGAAAATTGAACAATATTCCTATTCCATGATAATCTGTTGAAAAATTAAAATTTTCTTTGAAGGGGCAGAAATAGTGACTATGTCGTTACGATAAGATGCGAAAACACGATCAAAATATGAAAATAGTTCGCTTTTGAGCGACAAAGCATTTTTAATCTAAATTGAAAAGGCAATTTAAGATATTCACTATTTTAGAATAGATATCGATATTGATTTAACGTAGGATCGCCCGTTGGCCAATAAAAATGCAGCATTCATTTCTAATTTAAAAAATAACTGTAAACAAGAGATATTCTAATTATGAAGGTCATGCAAACGAAGATACTAATCACAGTATTCATCAATCGGGAGAATACATGCACATAAAACAATAAAAAATTCAATATTAGCTTTCATTTTGAATTGTATTGTAATAATCACAACCTATATACAATAGGCGCCCATGAAACATTTCAGGAACAAGGAACTATTTTTAAAAAGAGCTATTTATGCATTTTTCTTCTAAATTTTATCCTAGCGAGATTTGTAACAATTTTTTTTGGCACGAGATTTTAAAGATGAAAATTTGTATCGTTGGCTCTTGGTGGACTGACTACGGGATACTTTTACTCAATGTTTCCCAGCAGACACTTATTAAAATAAATTAATAGAAAATGCGTAAGGAGAAGCGATGCTTAAACGCTGTTCCATTAATTCTCATTTTTTACCAAATTACTTGCATGATTAAAAAGCAGATTAGCCGGTATTTGCTTGCTAAATATCGCATAACTCTTGTAAATTGAGCAATTTTCCGGCTAAAAGTATACGTTTAGTTGCATGAGAGTTGAAGTAACCAACCAAATCCGATGTGATCACGAATTTTAAGAAACATATATTTATTTAAGTAATATTTAATAATATTATAATATAATAATATAATATTTAATATTTACTTAATATTTAAGTAAAACATCCAACAAAGTGTAACCCATAGTCAATAATGCTTATATTGATAATATTTTATCAGAGATAATAGTGCGTTGTCAAGAAATCTTTTTGTTTTTCGAAAATAAGTACGAAAGAGAGGACTAGGCACTAATTTCGTCCAAGTTACATTCCAAATGTGTTCTCTTCGTAATTGGCTGGTCTCATCAAATTAAATATTAAATATTATGAGTCAAAATGCTCAATTTAGCCAAATAATGCGACAAAAAGAAAAACGTACCATATTTTCACTTTTCGTATTAATATAGTCTTTGTATAGGGTGCTTTCCAAAAAGACAGCTGAAAGAATGCTTGCAGTCCGTGTTTATGTGGTCTGCATCAAATGAGTTGAGGAGAAATTGTGTAAGTTTTGGAACATTTTCATATCATTTTTCATTCTCTCATCATATGGGAAGATTAATATGGAATATTGGGAAGGCAATTGTTCCACTAATCTATTGTCAAAATTCGTTACTCTTTCCTGCGTGCTACTTAGGTATTTAGACATGCTGATTAGATTAACTTCTTAAAACATTCTCATTACAACATTGTTAATCGTTTAGAAATGCTACTTGATTGAAGGCCTTTTGGTTTCATTGAAATTACCTACTTGTTTTACTCTTTGTTAGTGCTCAACAAGCCCATGTAACCGTCGCGAAGCCGACAATGCAGAAACAGTGGACCAGTACCTAAGGGAGTTACATGCGACTGGGATTATGCCCTGCTTTGCTAGACCCCTACGAAAGGCCACTTTCTCCCATGAACTCCAACTACTAAAAAGGGGATTCAACGATTCAAACAATGCATACAGTTCTAAGGGAGTTCATAGCCTTTCTGAAGACAATGAACAGACATTTCTACCTTTGCTAACAATAGACTGGCTGCGAGAAGGAAAAAATTTATCAGCAACAGAGCTGGCAGCCTCCAATCGTCTTCTTCATACGCCACCATCACCTCCGACTTTCGGCGGAGGCGAATTGAATGCGGCTGCGTTGATGCATCGACTTTATCCTGATGCACTCCTTTTCCATTCTCTCTTCTGGCCTCTGACGATCATTATCTGCGGTCTTCTTCTCATTGCACTAGCATACTCTATTGATGGTTGTAAAGTATGGCAAGCTGATATAGCAGTTATTGCATGAAGAGCTCGTTGAATATGATATTAGCGCGGATATATATGTGTATGTATATAAACAAAAACGCTCTCTTTCATATATGAAATTTGTTTTTAAAAGCTTTGAAATGTACATGCTTACACACGGCAACGCACTGGCATACGTTAGAAAGTCACAAATGATTTTCTCTATTCCACTTTCTTTCTGCGTGTTCTGGAATTATTCGAGATATTTGGTCAAGTGTGTGAAACGAGTTTTGACGTCGCTTTCCAAAAGATTTGACATTCCCGGTGCATATTTATCATGAAAGTTGACATCGCTTTGCCTATTGGTTTAATCATGACATCCTCTAAATTACTAAATCGACACTAAAACCATAAGTGGAACTTAAAAGAAGATAAATTAATATTTACGGCTCAAGAATAAAAAAATTAGAAGTTTAAAATTTAATTGGAGGGAATTACAAGCCCAGTTAATGAAAAGAGTAAAATTGGGAAACACCATTCTTCTAGTCTAAGAAAAATTTAAATTCCAAACTACGTCCTTCGAATTGCACTCGGAGGTAAGTCTAAGGTGAAGCGCGTTGTGATCAGAGAATAAGCTGAACTTAAAATGAAAATGAAAGCCATAATAGAAGCATTAAAAAACCACATTTTGAACATGAACGACATTACGACACTGTTCTGGTCCACTTGTAGATGTAATGTGAACAATCATCAAAAAAAAAAATTTTATCGCTTCTGTGAGGTCTGATCTTAAATTTTACGATGTAAAACAATATTTCATATCTAGCGGTCATTTATAGTTATTACACAACACACGTAATAAGACTTATTTTGTCTACTGTGTAGCCACTTATACTGACTAAGTCAAGGTCAATGAATTCCGATATTTACTTAATATTGGCTGAACGAATTCAGCAAAGCTATTTAGGGGCATTTAAATTGTATTCCACACACACACACATATATATATATATATATATAGATATATGTATAAACTGGCTATAAGAAGGAAGACACGATGGCAGAAGTGACAATGGACAACTTGTTAACCTCCTCTAGTTTGCAATACAAATCTCATTGATGCGAAAGAACTTTTGTAATTATGGAAGTGAAAAAGGAATATTTGATCCCCTGTAATGCTCAATTCATATAAAAGCGATTTGCAAGGTCGCATACAAATAGATGAAAGAGCTCCTCTTTTCTACTTCATTTGATTTGTAGTGGTTGATAAATTTAAGTGCCTTTCCAATGCAAAAAATAAATAAAAAAGAGATTGAGTATAATGAAAATCTGAGGATTTTAAAACCGCAGGCCCAAATGAGCTATTTTATTGATAGGTGAAATAATGACTTTGAGGATGCGATTAAAGCTCAAAGTGACGGAAAATGCAAAAATGCATAAAAGTAGGCTGTTTCAATAAACAGAGTTGGAGATCTACGGAGCTATTCCACCGATTTATTTTTTGCTGGTGCTAAAAATAGACTTCTATCCCTGGAATGTGCCGAAAAAGAAAATTCTTTTTTCGTTATTAACTTTTCATTTAACATAGGGTTTCTTCCCTTGATATATTTCACATCAATCGGGTGTGTGTCTACAAAAAATAGGCGAATATTTTGCTCAATCTTGGTGTGGAGCCTACCAATCAGGATCTTGAGTGCTTAGTTTATTCATCTATAACAAATGGCAGGCGTTTTGATAGTTATCATTAGCCCTTTAGTTGACTTCGGGCTTCACAGAGGATAGGAGAAATATCTAAATGAGAAGAATTCGAGAGGGAGAACAGAATAATGATTCACAGATGTAAAAGAAAGAGACAGACACCAAGGCCCAGAAAGGGTAAGATGAGTACTGTCTAGGGGTCGAATATGACATACAGTGTGGTCATGGTAGTTTGAAGTGAGAAGTCAACTGCCAGTTAATAGACTTTTTGCCGTATGAGTATACGTTGCCCAGGGTGCACCACG